GTGTGTGTGTGTGTGCTGTCTCATCTAAAAGGAAATATTGATTTGAAATAATTTAAGATAATTGGACAAGGTATTATTTTTCTCTTAAATGCATGAAGTAGGAAGAGAAAAGCTATAGCTGACAGGAAATACAATGGTTCTTTTGGATTTTTAAAAAACAAGTGTCTCAAGGACACTGTCATCAGAACAAAATGACAGCCTACAGATTGGGAAAGGATCTCCACCAACCCTATATCTGACAGAGGACTAATAACCAGTATGTATAAAGAACTAAAGAAGTTAAACAGCAATAAAGCAAGTAATCCAATTAAAAAATGGAATACAGAGCTAAACAGAGAATTCTCTGTATAGGAATATCGAATGGCAGAGAAACACTTAAAAGAAATGCTCAACCTCATTAGCCATCAGGGAAATGCAAATCAAAATGACCCTAAGATTTCACCTTACACCCATCAGAATGGCCAAGATCAAAAACTCAAGAGACAACACATGCTGGAGAGGTTGTGGAGAAAGGGGAACCCTCCTCCACTGCTGGTGGGAATATAAACTTGTACAACCACTCTGGAAAGCAATATAGTACTTCCTCACAGACAATTAGGAATAGCGCTTCCTCAAGATCCAGCTGTACCACTCCTAGGCATATACCCAAAAGAGGCTCAAGTACACAATAAGGACATTTACTCAACCATGTTTGTAGCAGCCTTATTTATAATAGCCAGAAGCTGGAAACAGCCCAGATGCCCCTCAACTGAAGAATGGATGCAGAAACTGTGGTACATCTACACAATGGAATATTACTCAGCAAAAACAAAACAAAACAAACAAACAAACAAACAAAAAAAAACAAGGAAATCATGAAATTTTCAGGTAAATGGTGGGATCTGGAAAAGATCATCCTGAGTGAGCTATCCCGGAAGCAGAAAAATGCACACTGTATATACACACTCATTTAGACATATAATATAGGATAAACTTACTAAAATCTGTACACCTAAAAAAACCAATTAAGAGGGAGGACTCTTGCTAAAATGCTCAATTCCTATCCAGAAAGGCAAAGAGGCTGGACATCAGAAGAAGAAGAAAAGAGGGAACAATTCAGGAGCCTGACACAGAGGACCTCTGAAAGGCTCTGCCCTGCAGACTATCAATCCAGATGCTGAGACTTATGGGCAACCCTTGGGCAGAGTGCAAGGAATCTTAGGAAAGAAGTGGGAAACAGTAAGATCTGGAGAGGACAGGAACTCTACAAGGAGAGCAACAGAACCAAAAAATCTGAACACAAGGGTCTTTCCTGAGACTGATACTACAACCAAGGTCTATGCATGGAGATAACCTAAGACCTGTGCACTGATGTAGCCCATGGCAGTTCAGTATCAAAGTGGGTTCCATTGTAATAAGAACAGGGACTGTCTCTGACATGAACTGATTGGCCTGCTCTTTGATCACCTCCTCCTGAGGGGGGAGCAGCTTTACCAGTCTACAGAAGAAGACAATGCAGCCACTCTTGATGAGACCTAATTGACTAGGATCAGAAGGAAGGAAAAGAAGACCTCCCCTATCAGTGGACTTGGGGAAGGGCATGCATGCAGAGGGTGAAGGAAGGGAGGGATTGGGACTGGAGGAGGGAGGGAACCACAGGGGGGATACAAAGTCAATAAAGTGTTATTAATAAAGAAAAATTTTAAAAAAAGCTGTAAAAAAAACAGGTGTCTCTAAGTTTCTAGCAAGAACCAGAAATAAGCCTCAACAGGGAGATCCAAAAGCCATCAATATCCTGAGCATAGTCTCTACATTTGTTCAGACTTATTTTGTTGTTCAGAATTTCAAAAGGGTACTTGGTACCCGAAACACTTCCAGGACCGCAGAGACCTATCACATAAATGTAATAATTATATTTCTGGTTTATTAGGGAGCAGTACATGCTCACTCAGCTTCAGTTTGCATTCTCTATTGCTACAATTACCAGTATAACCTCTGTAAACCCTTTCCAAAATGGGTATTTTTACATCAACAACATATACATGGCATTAAAAAGAAAGTCAAAATAATGAAGTAAATGTTTCATGAATACAATCATAAATAATAGTAAAAACCAAGTTTTCAGTTACTTATAATTAAGTTTTAAATAAAAGTTAAAGTGGCAGATAGTAGGGAAAATAAATGGAATAAAGAAATTATCAACTTTGTTTCTGTTATCAAGTTGGCTTTTATTTTTACCTATCTGCCCTAAAAGTTTTCTATTTAAATATTTGCTTATAATAATGATTGCCTTCCCAGAGAAAGTGTAGGAAAAATTGCCAGGTCTGGGTACCCTCCAGACCTGATCCAAGAGTGGATGTCAGGATTATTATGAGATATTTCTGGCTTCATCAAAATAAGTGTCAGAGAAATACACAGAAAACAATAGGTCTGTAACATCAAAGACTTGCAAAACTTACACTAGTCAAAGGTAATCAATGATCAAAAGTGACAAAGTGTTCAGGAGCTGAAATGCCTGGAGTTCACTTAATAAATTGTAATAAGATTCCCTGCATTCTGCCCAAACTTTGGGCATAAGTCTCAGTGTCTGCTTTGATAGTCTGCAGGGCAGAGCCTTTCAGAGGCCCTCTGTGGGAGGCTCCTAACTTTTTTCCTGTTTTCTTCTTCTTCTGGTGTCCATCCTCTTTGCCTTTCGGAGTGGGGATTGAGCATTTTAGCCAGAGTCCTCCCTCTTGATTAGTTTCTTTAGGTGTACAGATTTTAGTAGGTTTATCCTATATTATATGTCTATATGAGTGAATATATACCATGTGTGTCTTTCTGCTTCTGGGATAGCTCACTCAGGATGATCTTTTGCAGATCCCAACATTTACCTGCAAATTTCATGATTTCCTTGTTTTTCATTGCTGAGATCTGGAGAGGACAAGAGGTCCACAAAGAGAGCACAGTACCAAAAATTTTAGCACAGGGGTCTTTCTTGAGACTCATACTCCAACCAAGTACCATGCATGGAGATAACCTAGAACCCCTGCACAGATGTAGCCCATGGCAGTTCAGTGTCCAAGTGGGTTCCATAGTAATGGGAACAGGGACTGCTTCTGACATGAACTGATTGGCCTGCTCTTTGATCACCTCCCCCTGAGGGGGGAGCAGCCTTACCAGGCCACAGAGGAAGACAATGCAGCCACTCCTGATGAGACCTTACATACTAGGATCAGAAGGAAGAAAAAGAAACCCTCACCTACCAGTGGACTTGGGGAGGGGAGTGTGTGGAGAAGAGGGAAGAAGGGAGGGATTGAGAGAGGAGGAGGGAGGGAACTAGAGGGCGGATACAAAGTAAATAAAGTATAATTGCAAAAGTAAATTGTAATAAATGATAATAATTTTAAAAAGTTGAAAAAAATAACCTTTAGCTATCCCATGCTCAGATATAACCCACAGGCAGCTCAGTCTCCCTTTGTGTCTCCTAGTAAGGGGAGCAGTGACAGTCACTGGCATGAACTCAACTACCTGCTTTTTGATCACCTCCCCCTGGCAGGGTGGCTTTATTAGGCCACAGAGACAGAGGATCCAGACAGTTCCAATGAGGCCTCATAGGCTAAGGTCAGATAGTAGGGGAGGAGGACCACCCCTATCAGTGGACTAGAGGAGGGAAATAGGGGAGAAAGGGAGAGGGAGGGTTGGACTGGTGGGAGATGAAGGAGGAAACACAGCTGGGATACAAATTGAATAAACTGTAAAAAATAATAATAATAAAGAAAATAAAAGGAAAAAAAAAAAGTTCAGCTGAAGCCAACACATATGTGTTGCTTTCATCATTCCCTTCCTCTATTCACTGTCATGACCCAACAGGATGAATACAATTAACAATATTACGCCCCATATTACAGAATAGAGATACATTTAAATGTAATCATGGAAACATTATAAGAAAGTTTATACTGAAGGATACTCTAAAGTGCTGTGTTCATCTCTATCAAAAGTACTAGAATTCAAATGTCCTTTCATGTGTACAAGTTTGTACAAATGTATCCGTATGAAATCAGCTTTAAATGTTTACGTGTACACTCTTATCCTAAAGATTAGGGGAGATCACACGGCACATGCCATGAGGACAGGGGTTTTATTGTTCATAGACACCGGGGTGGAAAGGCTACTGCAGAGGAGGTGACAAGACAGAGAGAGGCAAAGCTAACACCACATGGGAACCCAGTGCTGATTGTCTGAAGGCTCTAAATGTCGCCAAGTGTTTGGGAAAGGGCGTTCAGGAGGATTTAAGTTCTCTCATGAATACACAGAAAGCCTGGGTCTGCAACTACTTATTTACACTGACACCAATCCCGTGCTGCAGGGAAAACAGCTTCTGCTTTCAAACATCATCAAAACTGTTTCGAGCCTTTGAAGATTTCCATTCCTCCTGAACACAGAAATTGTTTGTGTTTATGTTCTGTGCATGTAGCAAACTACAGAGGACAAAACTATAAAAGACCTGTGTGTGTGTGTGTGTGTGTGTGTGTGTGTGTGTGTGTGTGTGTGT